CGCCTGCAGGAAACTCCTGATGATAAAAGACACAGCCAGGCACGAGCAAATCTCTTCAGCTGAGTGCTGCTCTGAGCAGGCGAGTCCCACACCTTCCCCTCCTCAAACACCCGGGATGAGGCACTCGCCAGCTCCTCGGAGGAGCAACATGGACAGGATCCTCACCTGCAAAGCCCTGCCTCAAGCCAGTTGGTTATCCAAAAGGATCAACTCCAACCTGGCCTTGAAGAGCTGGTTTCCAGAGCAAAAAAATCCCAGCCTCAACCTCTAGCAGGGAGCACAGGAGCAGGCTCCAACGTTTGCATGGGCTGGAAAGCACGGTTCAGGTCCCAAAGAAAGTATTGTGGTAGGCTGGTCCCTAGCAGAAGACAATCTCGCATTTTGGGAAAGGCCTAAAGAAAAAACCAGCGCTTCTGCCGCCAGCAGACTTCCCACGCTCCAGACCTGGCCGCTCACGTGGGAAGGAGGCTCCAACCAAAACCAGCGCTGCTCAGATGGGTGGCCCCCGATGCCCACACCAGCGAAAAATGACAAGAGATGCTTCTGAAGACTGGGGAGAAGGAATATCCAACTCCCCTCCCATCTCCAAAGGCCAGACATCAGAGTGGAAACCCAGCCTACCTCATGGGACTGCAGGATGAGGAGAACGGAGAAGCAAAAGCCACATGCCCTGGCACATAATTTTGAAGACAGCTTATGTCCATCAGACCCCAAAAATCTCCTTTCTTCCTGCTCTCCAGTTCAATAACTTAATTAAGCATCTTCTGGCCTTGCAGTAGTGCTGGGTCACAAGGACAAGCCTCCCCTCTGGACAGCAAAGAGACCCTCCAAAAAGCCAAAGTGATGAGAAGGACCCAAGAGCGACTTATAACAGAAATAATTACGATTCTGTCATTTAATACAGCGCCACCAGTGACCTGTCTGCTCCCAGCCCCCAGCAAATCATCTCTGTTCAAAACACCCTCGTGGTTTCCTCTCACCATGGGCCAGGGTATGGCCAGCTCAGCCTGTGACCATCTAACCCCGGCAACATGTTCACTGATTAGGGTTTTCCCGCGCCCCAAGGAAGGCCAGACCCGTCCCAGGTGGTCCAATACAGAGTCGGATGAGCTGTTCAACACATCCAGGCACCTCGTCACGAGGAGGAAAAACCGCAGGGAGAGGAGAGCGAGAAAGCAAAAGAACAGAGGATTTGGGCAAGGAAGCAAAGACGGTCGAGTGTACGGCGTCTGACTGAACAACCAGGAGAGGAGGTGGTGGCCACTGCCCTGGACAAGCACACAAAGGCAGAGGAGGATTTATGAGCAGCCAGTCTAAGGAATGAAATTAAAGAGAGGAAAAAGGAGAGACTCCAGGAGCTCTGTCAGTACAAACAAGGACAGTCTCATCCCCCGGACAGACTGAAGGGGAAGATGCTTTATTAGCACCCAGCCTGGCAGAGCTGCAGGGACCTGAGATGACTCGGGACTGAGAAAAATGGGGCAGAAAACGCGGCTCTGGGAAGGGGCTGCGTGCAGGGCAGGGAAGCAGCGGACTGCAGCAAGGTCAGACACCATTCAAGCAGCAGGAGAGCGGCTCTGCAGGCAACTGCAAAAAGCAGCAGCAAAAACGATGCTCTGGAGAAGGCATCCAGCCCTCCCCAGGGGACGGCAGCTCCCCACGGGCTCCGTCCCCCTCTCCCCAGCCTTCCCCTGCTCCCATCTCCAGCCACGGGCCACCCAGCGCGCAGCTCGGGCTCTCCACCACTGCAAAGCTGCAGCGCTGTGCATTAGCATTCCCCGCCGCACAGCCTCAGCGGGATTCCTCCGGCGCCGGCATCCGCAGGGGCACAGCACCAACCCAAACACACCGGCCGCGGGCTTGCCGGCCTCTCAGGGCACAGAGGTGTCGTGTAGCTCACCTCCCCAAAAGCAAATTCAAGGTTTTAGCCCATTTCACACTCCAGGCATGCTGCATGAGTAAGCAGATCTGTCTGCAGAGCGTCCGTCTGTCTGTCTGCCAGTACCCAGGTGTGAAGGAGCCCACTGGACGGCGATCCCCACGCGACAAGGATGCAATGGGGACCGGGTGAAGTGACAGACAGCGACAGCTCCCGCCAAGCCCCCCTGCCTTGCCCCCCATCTCTAAGCACGGCGATGAGTCCTGCCTGCTCGAGGGCACCCACGGCTCGGCTTGCCCGGGAGTTTGAGGCTCCGTGGATCCGGCTGACGTGGATTCGGAAAGCAACCGCCGTCAAGGGCGCCTACAGTCTCCAGGGAGGCAGAAAAGCAGATGCCCAGACGCAGTGGTGATGGCACACAGGGATCTGGAAGAGCACAACCTGCACCCTTGAGCTCTCCCTTCAGCCCTACACCCGTATTCACTTAACCTGGGCAAGACACGAGCCTGAGTGTTTCCAGAAGCCCCCCAGCAACATCAAGGCACACGCTGGAGAAAGTAGAAAGCTCGGCATCACTCACCTCTGCCTTTAAACCACTCCCCGCCAAAGAACCGCCTCACTCTGACCAAAGCTGGTGTTATTTTGCTGACAGCCCAACTTCCCATAAACTGCAGTGAAAAAGAAGCTTCAGCAGAGCCAGGCAACCCCAGCTCTTGGGGGAAAACCGCCCCATTTCTGCAGAAAGGCTACAGCTCCGTTCACCTCGACTGCGTCGACTCCTACTTAAATCCGGAGTTGATCATATTTAATCTCTTAATCTCTTACCGCCTGCTGTTTCACTTTTTCACCTTAAACAAGTCACTGACAAAAGAGGAAACAAAGACGTCAGCAATCCCCCAGGCCGGCTGCAGAGCTCGGGCTCGCTCCGGGTGCCCCCGACACAGCCTGCCAACGGCAAGGAGGATGCCGACTTCTTCACAGCACCCGCGGGGCCAACGTGCCTCCAGCTACGTCCGAGATGCTCCCCCAGGTCCGAGCTGGGCACGGGACGCTGGCGGGCTCACGCCGGCTCTTCTGCCGGACACTGGCGCTTTCCCCGAGCACCAGCACAAGTTAAGGCTCCTCTTTGAAAAGCTATTCAGTGGCAGGTCACACGGAGGAGACGGAGCCTGCACTAAGCTTGGCCACATTCCCACCCTCCCCATCTCCAAACGCCTTACGCAAACTGCATCGGCAAAGTTCAAGGAGCCTAAAAACCCAGGGAGCGAGCTGCTTCAGCAGCGCGCCGCGATTTCCCCTACCTCAATGCTGGTAAATCACCTCTCTCAACCATCTTCTTCGCTGGCCTCTGACCACGCTGAGAGCTCCGGGGGCAGCGAGCACAAAAGTCGCTTCGAGTTGCGTTGAAACAGAAAAGCATTTTAATGGTTTAATTGCGATCCTGCTTCGAAGGCATCTGAGCTGGGGGCACTCAACATCTTATCTCAGGAGGGCAATTCTCCCTTCCTCGTCCTTTTATCCTTCTGCCAACGCCTCTGCTATTACTGAGTGCTATTCGCAGTAACTAGCCAGGCAAGGAAAACAGTGGCCCGAAGCATTTTGTTCCTTGACCTCAACCGCATCGCACGCTCCCCAAGATCTCGCTGGCTGCTGATATTATCAGCCTCAAATGTCGCTTGTCGCTCTGGGCACCTTTAATATCATCATCCAGCCAGGAAAGGCTGCAGCAGCCGCCGAGTCTGACTGTGGCTCCTCATGCTGTGCAACAAGCAGCAAATTCAAGGTGATACAACATCCCATACCCCGAGACACAAGCCAGCTTCGCCTCTGAGGATGCTGGATCGGTTTCCCCCCCTACACATACATCGCATTTCTTTTTACAACGCACATTTTGGCCCCATAGGATACTTCAGGATTAGTAGTTTGCTCTCCCCTCTCAGATCAGCCGGCTGCAGCCTCGCACTGTTAGCTCCCCAGCCTGGAGAAAGACGATGGTAATGAAAAGGTAAGAACAGTGCCCGAGTTTGAGCTGTGCTGAGCCACCGCTGGAAGAGGCAGATCCCAGCTCCGCATTCCCCTGCTCCTTCCTCCAGGCTATGTCCACAGCCTGGATAAACAGGGCCAGGGCGCAGGGAGAGCCTCCAGATCCCTGCTCCGCAGCAGCAACCATGAGCTCGGGTGAGGAGAGATGCCTCAAACACAGCCACCTGACGGCAGCCCCTCAACGAGGGTCGGACGCTCCCCTAATCCCACCGCTGGCCAGAGCGGGCAAGAGAGACGTTCCCCCGGAGAAGGAGGGCACTCGCATTCACTGCGACTGCTTTGCCTTTACTTCCAGCGCGGAGGCAGGCGGCTGCAGCCCCGGGGGGAACACGATGTTCAGCACAGCGGAGACCTCTGGCCGCAGCTGCGCAGATCCATGCAGGGCTCGGAGCACAAATCCGCCTCGCTGGCGGGACCGGGACTTCAGCAGCACGTTACCGAGCCCGGCAGGTCCGCACCAAGCCAGGAGCGCAGGTCTCTGCACGCTCGCTCAGCTAAAAGCCGGTTACCCGAGTTAGCGGAGGTCCTGCACCCTGCCACGGCGGCACGGGCGGGG